TCAAATATTAATATTTTTAAATGAATTTCACAAAAATCAACAGATGGTGATGTACTGATTGAACAAAAAGGAAATATAATATATATTATCTTTAAGTTATTAAATGCATAACTTAGACCAACAAACACTGGAATATCCTAAACGGGATTCTGACAGTTTAAATAATAATATTAAGGAGTTGTTGATGCACATAGTATCGTAAAATAATAGGTTTCTTTTGAATTTTGGTGAACTCTGTTAATAATTTAAGAAGACAATTACGTCAACTTCCACGTTACATATATTTCAATTAATTATTTTACATATATGTTTTTTTAAGAGAAACTAATCCATTATACGACACGAGTGTTCTTTTTAATTATCTGTTAAATGCCAAGTTATATTTAATTTATTAGTAGATTAACTTGTATAAGATATTATAGAGTTTTATAATTAAATTTTTAAATTTAATTTATTCTATCCACAAAGTAATGATTTAAATCTTTTGAATAGTTTTAAAAAGTTTAACATTGTACACTATTAAATCAAATTATTGTTTTTTTATCGAATAATTGACACAAATACGTGGATAGGCTACGGAAATTGGATTTAGACTTAGTTTAAGCATGCACGTTACTAAACAACCAACATTCATGATTCAACGATTAACAACAAATTCATTTTAGGAACCTTAGACGATGGCATGAGATTCTGAATTTTCTTATTTAGAGTTGTGAACCCAACAATTAGCCACTCATTTTAGTTTATTTATTTATATATTTAGAATATGAACATGGAACTCTTACACAAACATTGTATTTTTTGTTTTAATATATAATTTAACTCTTAAATTATAATCTGAGTGTCATGACATATCGGAAAACAAGGCTCTCAATATTATACGATAGGTCAATTAATATATATATTTATTATCAATAATCAATTGATCAAGTGAGATGAGATCTAGATCTTTTAAGTAATACGCTCGAAATTTGAATCTCAATTCGCCCCATAATGAACCTTTACAAAATCCGATTCAGAATAGTCGATCGATAAATCGGATAATAATAGTTAAATAAAAAAATTATATTTATTCGATTAATACATTGTAAGTCGGGAACACACTAAAAATTTAAGAGATTTACGGATTTTACAAGAAAAACAAAATTAGATATATCATAATAAACGTGATCTATTATTATAACATGCTCTAAGTATGTAGGTAGCTTCGACCGACAAATGATTGTATTATTAATTATAATGAATATATTATAATTGTTCATATGATTGGAGTTAATTTGTGTTATCTTCTTCCAAACCGAAACTGGCGTTTTGCTTAATCAGACAGTGAACATGTTCACACTGCTTCCTTATCGTTTTTCACCAAATACTGCTTCTGCCAATGAAGTGAGTTTTACTATCAATCTCCAAATCCCATAAAAAAATTAAATTGGACTTTTTAACAATTTCAAAATAAAATAATCACAAAATACAGCTACGATATTAATTTTTTTCCCATACATATTTTTTTCTTCCTCTTTTCTGGGTTTGCGTTTGGCTAAACATGACAGCAGGGAAACTCAAATCTATAGAACTCCATGGAAGAAATTAATTAATTAATTGATATTACGTTAATGGTTGGTAGTATGGGCAGAACAATTATGAGATTTTCATTATTCAGACCGTCCATGTGTGTGATTTCTATAAGTTGCCAAGCTCTGATACTTATCTCTCCATGGCAATTGAAAAAGAAACAATTATAAATACTGTGGTACTTACCAAGATTTTTTTTAAATAAATGGATAACTAATTTTTTATTATTATTTTTAAATAATACGAAATAATTATAAGATAATATATATTCATATTTTTTTAGTCCATTAACAATACATATTCTATTGATGTAATCGGTTAAATTTAAAACTTCGAAGATAACTTGATGGGTTTTGAATAGCTAATTTGGTGATTACGACAATGGATATAATTTTTTTTTGGAGAAATACAAAAATAGTCCTTGTCTTATAATCTAAATTGCATTTTTGAGCCATAGTGAAATTTAACAAATCGATCTTTAAAAACAAACCGGTCAATCGTTAAAATTTCCAACTTAAATGATAAGTGAATATAGAAAGAATTTAGAAAATGAATTCAAATTTTAATATATTAAATGGAGCTTTCAGGCATCTTATCTCTGCGATCCCTAAACAAGTGTACTTATAAGTGCTGTACCGATTTTCCAACTTTTCTTAATGAACTTCAAAGTGTCGTTTGATCTTATCTTCTGCATTCTCCCTTATATAAGCAATTATTTACTACATTTTCACTACTTTTTTCTCTTATTTTATTCCTCCAATAATATTTTATTTTTGTTAATACTAAAACTAAACTGCAATGGATTATCTAAAGAAAGAAATAGGGAACAGTCTATTACTTGTACCGAATTTTCAAGTTTATACCCAAAGTTTGAACAAATCAACCAACCAATCTTAATGAATAAAACTAAATATCCGACACTGAGAATGAAATGTACAAGCTCCGCAAGCAAGGTAATGAATTAACGCATTCTCACGTATTTAATAAAAATATACATTTTACTAATTTTATTTATGAAAAACGTGCAACCACCGCTACTTGATAATTCTAAGGAGAAGAAAAATATAGGGTTAATTATCTCATTTATACATGAAGTATATCCGATTATCAGTTCATATATAATGTTTAAAAATTCTTAATTTTATACATTATGTTTTCTACCGTTAGTGGGTTCACCCATTTCCGTCACGAAAAGTGACATGGAACCCTGACAAAATGCCACCTGACACTTTAATTTTTTAATAAAAAATATTTTTTTTAAATGTCACGTCACCTTTCGTGAGGAAAATGAATGAACCTGTTAACAATAGATAATATCATATATGAAATTGAGAATTTTAAATATTATGTATGAAATTGAAAATTAGTTACACTTCATATATGAATGAATGAAGTAATTAATCCAAAAAAATATATGATGTAGCGTATGTAAATGATCGATTAAGTTTGACAGAAACGCCAATATTTTATTTAGTCTAAAACAATACCACGTTGATTGAAAATGAGGGAAGCGACGAAATGATTTAATATTTAATAATAATATTAAAATACATGTTGGGTAGGTAAGGTCCAAACAGATCCCTGTCTACCACATCATTAGTTGAATTTTTTTTTGGTTGAATAATTTATGTGTTTAATGTCGAATGTGTTGAAGTGGTCCCAAATTTTATCTGTTTCGCATGCGGCGACACGTATGAGTTGCGTGCCTACCATACCATATTCTCTCCTCTTTTTCTTTTATTTACTTAGGTGTGTGTGTGTGTGTTTTTTTTACTGAAATACTTGTATGTATTTCAATTAGTGGTTTTAAAATGAATTCGAGCACGTAAAAAGTAATTTGTTCTTAACTATAATTTAGGGTAAATTATATATTTAGTACCTAAACTATCATTTTTATTCTGTTCTATCACCTAAATTTTTTTTTTTCAAAACCATACATAATTTTGATTTTAAGTTTCAATTTGGTACCCTCCGTTGGGCATCGATGACGTGGAATTTACATTACAAGACGCAAGGAATATCGAAAAAGGGAAAATAACTCCACATCATCACTGCTGGTAACGTTTTAAAGGTATGGTACCAAATTGAAAACTAAAATAAACGTTAGGTATGATTTTGATAAAAATAAAGTATAGGTACTAAAACATAACAAAAGTGATAGTTTAGGTACTAAACGTGTAATTTACCCTATAATTTAATTAAAATTGTAAAATCAAAACTATATATAGGTGATTCTAATTTATCATCACATAATTTTAATTGTTTGTTCAAATACGAATTAAATTCATATGAAAATGAATGAAAACCTTTCAAAGAAAAGTTGCATACCGAATAATAATAATTTCTATATTCCTTCAAAAATCATTGTGTAATGTGTGAATGGATCCTATTTACATAAAATCTGTGGTTGGGTAATTTCTTTGTAGCTACTCGGGAACGTTGAATTATTAAACTCCAAAACTCTTTGAGTGACTTTGGTTATACTTTTATTTCAATTTTATGCGACGCCAAGTTGGATTAATTAATCTAATCATCAGCTAAAAGAAAAGTCGTCTTAACTTGTAAACTGAGACAATCAAAACAAATGATCTCCTCAGGGGAACTAATTGTCAACAACTGATTTTTTTTTTCAGACTGCACCCTCAAATAAAAAAAATACTAATAAATCGGTTAAAAAGAGAATGGTTCCATCTTAATCGGAAAAAAGTTGATGATAAAAAGAAGAAGAAGAAAACATTTGAAACAAATGTGACGATAGAGACGACGAGACATTATTAATGTCCTCCATATTCACAAATGTCTTTGTAGATTATAATTTTGTAAACTCAAACTCCTATAATGTTGCACAAGACTCGGTGTTTATCAATTCTATGCACAACTATAAGCTTGTAGAAGGATAGCCTTATAGATACAAGTCCATTTTTAAGTTACCGATTATCAAGCCCAATCTAAGTACCCAAACCTTATGGGGCATGATTTCATATGACATGCTCGGCTTCACTGATAAATGAAAAATAGTTAAAAATTATTCCGCCACCTCCTCGCCAATTAGTGTAAACAATTTGAGAAATTCATACGCATAAATTAAGTTATATCAGTAATTAAGAGATTTTAGAAATCTCAAATTTAAATACGATGTTTACATAATTAAACTAAAAGATGATGATTATTTTTTAAAATCTCAAATTCAAGTATTATTATTTAAAAAAATATTATCTTTTAATTACTCTAAACCAATAAAATTTAATTATGAATCAATTTTTAATAATACAATTCATACAAAAAATATCAATGAAAATAAATTTGATTAAGATAAAATCTCAATATTTCAATTTGGGAGCAACAAATTTGGCCATTTACCCAGACTGCCAGCATGAGATTTCAGTATTTACTAGCTCTTGGACTGCTCAGAAGATTCGAGCACCATTCAGAGGCCGAACCATAGCAGATCCAGCCACATATAAAACAGGTACTGTACATTCTACCAAATTCTCACGAGTAAAAGACGCAGCCACCACAACCTTAGCTCACATTATCCCCATCATAATCTTCTTCTCTCACCAACTCCGAGCTGTGACAATACAGCCATGGCAGCCCACGCCATTTTCACCACAACCCCATCTCACCACACTCTCCTTTTTTCTTCCTCAACTAACCCTTCAAACCCACCGGTTCTTCTCTCCTCATTTCGTGGCCTCTCTCTCAAGCTTCCCCGTCAGTCGCTCTCCATTTCTGCCTCTATCCCCAAGAAGCCGTTTTCGGTGCTTGCTGTCACAAAGAAAGCAGTCGCTGTTCTCAAAGGTGATTCAAAAGTTGAAGGCGTTGTCACGTTGACCCAGGAAGATGATGGTCAGTGTCACCCCCTCCCCTTTTGATCCATTGTTTTACTTCATAATGCATTTTTTTTATTTGGGTTTTGGCCTTTGTTGCGTTTTAGTTGGGAAAATTCGTTCTTTCTTATGGTGGGGAGGGGATTTCATTTCATTGTTTGTTTAATAAGGACAAGAATCAGAAGAAAGGAAATGGGTACATTTTGCTTTTTTGGGTTTTTTCTTATTGACAAATTCATTTCCAAGTTTTATACTTTGAGGTTGGATAGAGTCACGGTTCACCTTAAATGTTGTGAATGCCAGATTTTTAGAGCTACCACGATTTTCTTCTTGTTTTTCAAGTTGACATTGATATTAATTAATCAATTACGTTTAAAGTTCAATTTGCAATGAATGATAAGCTTGTATATCTCTTATCTTTTTGGCAATAAAATGTTGATATCATCTGAGAATGCTTATTTGTTTTGTGAATGAATTAGGCCCTACAACCGTGAATGTTCGTATTACCGGTCTTACTCCAGGGCCTCATGGGTTCCATCTAGTGAGTGTTTTCGGCTTTAGCTGCTTGTTTCCAGTGGGTTTCAGTACATGGAAGTTCTTTGAAATCTACGGTTTTAACCTTTCTTTTTTTTGTTTTTATGTAGCATGAATATGGTGACACAACAAATGGATGCATGTCAACAGGTACAACTTGTTGCATTTGAATATAATGCTTGCATGTTCTTGTGTTTCAATTTGTGTATATTTAAGTTCTTTATTTTAAATGATAGGAGCACATTTCAACCCAAACAACATGACACATGGTGCTCCTGAGGATGAAGTACGGCATGCGGGTGACCTGGGAAACATAACTGCTAATTCTGATGGTAATACATTCTTAGATTTACTTTGTTTTTTCCTTTTTCCTTTTTAAAGTTGTCTGTGTTCCAATTAAATTTATTTGTTGGCCAATGTTTTGTAATGCAGGAGTGGCAGAGGCAACGATTGTGGACAATCAGGTGATGTTCAAAAACTCATGTTCCTTTCCATGAAAATATCTGTACATGGATATTCTCATTTGTCTGACCATGAAATTTTCCATTTTAGCGTGCGCGGCGCTAGATGATCATATTTCCTTTTTGATCACTAAACTTCGACTCTCTTGTGTAGATACCTCTAAGTGGCCCCAATGCAGTCGTTGGAAGAGCACTTGTGGTACATGAGCTTGAGGATGATCTTGGAAAGGGTAACCCTTTCAATTGCAATTCTCACAGTTCTTTATCGAGTTAACTATCCTCATAAGTTGTGGAGAGAAGAGTGACTTGTAGTGGCGATTTACGATGTTAGGATGGTGCACTTTGGTTGTAGGACTGAAGTTCTTTGTTTATACTTACATGCATGCTTCGTCACAGTTGATTTTATTAGTCAGTGGGCATATTTCGCATTTTGATTACAGATTTCCCCTCTTATTTACTTCCTATTTTCATTTTGTTTGCTTATATTTATGTCTTATTATTCATCTGCAGGTGGACATGAACTTAGTCTAACCACTGGCAATGCTGGTGGAAGATTGGCATGCGGTATGTGCACATATACTTTTATCTACATGCCTATATGTTTACAGAGCAGACAAGAATTCCAGACTCATCCTTGATTTCTTTTCCTTGCATCCGTGTTTGGAGCATAGTTATTTTTGGCTTGATTATTTTAGTAGGCAATCACACACACAATATATATATATCTGAGATGGACTCTTGAACTGTTTGAAATAGTTGCACATCCATGGCATGGCAATGGATGTGGTATATGTATCTATATGCTTTACGTTGTACCCAATATTGTCGATTCTGCCACACTACACCCGAGTGTTTTAGTGTCGGACTAAGTGATCTTTCCAGCATACATATCAAAGCTAGTGGGTATTTACTTTGTCTTTTTCTTTTTTCCTGGTAATCTCTGTGCAGGAGTTGTTGGCTTGACCCCGATGTAAATCTTTTCAAATGATACCGTTGGTTGGCTCTTTATACGAGACAAGTGCAGACCTTTATTATCTTTGTGTATCATGATTCCCTATGCAATACAAAATAACTTGCTTGTGTTTTGGTTTGTGAACCTGTACACTGTAAAACTTGCATTTTTTGAGCTTATAAAACTCCTTACTGCTGCTGTTTATTAGGATCTCTGCTAGTCGAAGCATGTAATTTTGGGGCTCAAATAATGAGATTTTGGTCTCACCATATTCATAATTGGATTTAGTTTTAACTATTTTGGTCATTTTATTATATTCAGATTTGGGATTTAATCTCACATAATTAGTGTTTTTCTAGTAGTATTTCGGTCCTTTTCTAAGTTAGAAATGATGTTTTCAAAATGGTCATATTTTAATCGGCATATATTTGAAGAATTAAATAATGTCAAATTAACGTTTTCGATTTGAACGTAGGACCGAAATTATAATTTGACCTAAATTTGGCTTATATATTACTCAAACACATTCTCTCACATTGTTTCAATTGGAAACCAACCAAAACATATGAAATTCTATCATTACAAAGTAAATTTAACTGATTTCATCCGAATTTAGATTGGAATAATTCTAAATAGAGTTTCTATATGATAAGATTTAAATATTTGGAATAAATTTAAATGAAAAATCTGTGTATATGACATTTTTTATGCACGTTTGATGAGATTAAATGAATTGTGGTTGTTATTGGTGGTTCACCTCTTCTCATATATGGATTTATTAATGGGAGTGTCAATTATAGGGTTATATTGGTTACTCGTAAGCTGACAGGTTAATTGGATATGATCATATGATAATGGATTTTGATTTTGGTAGGTCACATAGATCTGTCATAAGTCATATCAATTAATTACGATTTTTCGAGATTTAAATTTTTAGAATCATTTCTCCAGAGATATTCTTTATATCTTTCGAAAATTTAATCTCCCAATAATAGTGAGGTATGATGAAATATAGAGGACTTTTGGTGGAGTATAACATATATATTATAAGATCACCATTGTAATAGTAATAGTAATAATATGAAAAATAACTTTACGTGTGTATAAATAAAAAATTAAAAGAGTTACATATAAGTTAATATTATTAAAAAAAAAAGCCTATGCACACAAAACGATTATTATTGGTATTATGTATCTTTTTCATTTTCAACGAAATTTATGTGATAATTCTTTTCCTCCAAATATGCCCTAAATCCGCAAGATCTGATTGACATGTAAAACGAAGAAGAAAAATGAAAATGGGAAAGGGAAAGGGTTTGGCATGTACTTTCCTTGCTCTTCCATCCAAGGGCATAACAACGCCAGGATACAGCAAAGAATTGCGGCTCTGCTCTGCCTCACATAACCTACTTTACTTCTTTATTTTTCTTTTTTCTCATTACTCCTCTTTTCCTTGTACGTTGAACCTTATTTCTTTATTTTCATTTTATTTCATAAAATGACACAATATGCTATTAAATTAAAATCCGAATTATTATCCAAATCACAAAATCCATAATTACATATTATCTAAAAAAATAAAAATCTAAACCCTAAACCCTAAAGAACCACTGTGCGGGCTGATGCATGCCCCCTTCACAATTAGCTTAGTTGGAAACAATGAATTTAGCTGATATATAAGCTACTGCTTCTTCTTCTTTTTAACATTATCTTTGTTATTTGATACCCAAAATCTGCCATCCAAATCACTTGATTCTATGAACACGGCGGGGGAGAATATTATTGATCCAATTATATAGGAAATTGTTACACAATCCCTTCGTCATATGGCACTTTCCATGACTTGTGAAATAAACCTCCTCCCCACTTGTGTTCCTTTTCTTTTACTTGTTGGGCAGGCCACTTGCCATTGCGCTGCATCTTATCAACATTCTAAATTACCATGTTAATGCCATTTCAACTCACGTTTATTATAACTGCGATTCAATTTATCATGATGCAAGAAAGGTTAAATTGTGATTTAATCCCTATATTTAATTTAACAAATCTTGCAAATTCATTTAGCGGTCTCAGTATTTAAATGGAGTGTTGTTCTCTTTAGAAGTTTCGGGTTCGAGCAATGCAGTGTATGTATATATTGTAATGACTAAGAAATATTTTAAACATACACTACATTATAATCACCCCAGACTGATGAAGAACACAACAAATCTTATAACTTTATAGGGTCATTAACCGATTCAAATAACTAAAACTATGGATACATATTATATTTTAAAAATCTATGTTAATATGTTAATCAAAAGGATTAATTATGTTAATTATTATAAGAATAGAGTATATGGTGTTGTGAAGAAGACATGGGAATAAATGAAAGTAGCATCCCATGTTTTTTTAACGTGCAATTCCTCAATTTTGGGTTTAATTTAATGGTTTTTGGTTTTTATGGTTATTAAGTATTGGGTGTGGTTGAAACTGTCTCTCGACGTTAACAACAACTCAATTGAACTGTCCTAACCCTCATTTTGCCCCTTTTGGCCATCCTCTCTTTTCCACCTAATCCTCAACTCTTACCTTTACATACACTCCTTGTTAGCCAATGCTAAATATAGTTCTCATAATTCTGATCCAAACGTTATTCGTCTATTTCTTTGTAATTAGTGAAAGTTATTAAATATAAATATTTAAAAGAATAAAGATTCTTAAAATTAGACATGAAAGAATAATGATGGAGAAGAACTATATTTAGATATCAGATCTTTAGTGTTTAAATAATCACATGAATCTTGATTATATTCAAATCAATTTGGATTTTTTTCTATTATATTTTTTTATCAAATTCTTTTAACACCCGATTTACTAGTGGTAATACCTTTAAAAGTTGGGAGTGAAAAGAACAAAAAGGTGTGGGTGTATTGTATGCAACGATAGTTATAGTATTCATGGACGGCATTTTTGGAGTTTTGACCCCCCAAAAAAAAAACTCAATGGTACCATTATTTTCAATATATATATAAACCAATCATCACCCTTGTTATCATTCACTATATATATAAGTATCCCATTTATATATCTTTGCTTCATAATCATTTTTGTTGTTTTCTACTTGGGCGCATTAATTGCTTATTTCTTCACTACAATTTTCTGTCTTTTGGAACTCTTTCATACTATTTTTGGCTGGCTTTTGGTTTTGGGGGAGGTCTGGATATGCAAGCTCAAGAGGAATTTGTGGGGTTTAATGATAGCCGAGCCTTGATTATGAAAGGCAAGCGTATGAAGCGCCCAAGGCCGGCGTCCCCGTTCGGTGTCATGGTGACTTCTAGCTCATCAAGTGGCGGCGGCGGAGTGGTAGAGGAATATAACTCGATTTCCTCTTCGACGACGATGTCTGGTGATCGGATTTACGAGAGCACCGAGGAAGAAGAGGAGATGGCTAATTGCCTAATCATGTTGGCACAAAGTGATGGTCCGAGAAGGAACGTTGAGTTTTATGTGTACGAGTGCAAAACTTGTAACCGATCTTTCCCTTCTTTCCAATCACTAGGAGGGCATATGGCAAGCCACAAGAAGCCGAAATGTGCCATCGATCACAAAAAACCACTAGTTTTGGCGGTTGATGATGCAGTCATGGCTTTACGAGCAAGTAACAAAAAGGGTAACAAGATTCACGAGTGTTCGATATGCGGCTCGGAGTTCACGTCTGGTCAAGCTCTTGGAGGTCACATGAGACGGCACAGGGCGGCAGCAACGGCAGCTGGAACAGATCAACCAGCCATGAATGTTGATCAAATCAGCATTAAAACCGCAAGCAAATCGAACAAGCCATTGTTGGATCTTAATCTTCCAGCACCAGAAGATGATCTCAGAGATTCCCAGTTTCAGTTTGGTACATCCCAACAGGCTATTGTTTTCTCCAGACCAGCTTTGGTAGATTGTCATCACTAAAATGCAAAATCCTATGAAATCAAAGTGAATTGCACAGCTACTTCAACTCCATATAATTTGACAGATATATCAATTATTATAATGGGAATTCTTTAATTTTTTTTAGTATTTCTATTTCTCCCAAGAGTTGTGATTTTTTTTACGATGTAGATGTTGAAGTTGAATACCTTTGAGTAAGTGGTTAGCAGTGTTGATGGTTGCCTTTCATTCACGAAAAGAGAGGGTAATGGGGGCATCTTTTTATTTCATAAAGTTAGGCTTAGTATGATTGATTGGTGGATGCCGTAACTTTTAAACTAAACATTTAGATGTGGTAACCATTTTTCCTTCATATGCTTTTAGTTCATTTATATGGCAAATTATACATAACTGTTATATTTTGGAGATGATATCTGGAAATTGACAGAGTATTACTCTGTCAAGATAGATTCTCGAAGAGATTCTTTCACTTATCAAAGCCTTTAAAGACCCTATATCCTTCAGACATCAAGTCAATTACAATGTATAAATAAGATCTCTAACAGATCCGCATAACATATAAGAAAGAAATTCAAGAGAAACATCGGTCAATGATCGTACTTTCACCGATCACGACCCTCCACCTAAATTAAAATAGATAAATTATCAATTATACAAAATAAACTTGTTTCAATCAATAAAATATATATATATATATATATATATAATGGTCTGCCTTTGTTTTTAGCTCAAATAAGGCCTACTCTCTTGTTATACCTAATTAACCAACTAAAATCCATCCCTTGCATTGCAAGTCACTTAACTAAAACTGCCGATCACCCACAATCCAATGACAACGATATTCCCAAGGAAGATACCATTTGGAGCTTGTACACGACACAAAGTGCTCATTAATATAAATTTGTTTATGCTTACCTTTGCTGAATTTTGGTGCCATTAGAAAGGTTCTCACGTTCCATTGCCCCCCTCATCTGCCCGTTGCTCATATTAGCTGTGTAAAGAAGATGTCACAGCATCAAGAATATGTTTTTTCTTTGTCTTTTCTTTCCATTATCATTATCAATAAATCTTTTAGCCAAGCCATATTGTCACGTTAATGTTATGAAAGGGAATATTGGAATTTTACTACATCCAATCTTACTTAGAAACAATATGATGTCTTCCTTGCAATATAATATGATATGGGTTAGAACTTCGAGTGGTTTTAGTGGTTAAAGATAATTTATTCTCTTTAAATAATCTGAGTTCGAATAGCATAATCTATATATTTATGTGAGTTTAGATCTAGGTCTTTTCAATATATATATACAAGGATTAGGTTCCTCTATGGCTTTCTTCACTATAAGTGCTAGTTGGGAGGTTAGTCTATCTTTTTTTGGTGAGATGTTGTCCACCTAATGGTGCTAGTTAACGTGCTTCATATAGATTTTTGCTTTGGTATTAGGTATATATCTTTAAAGATCATGGTAGTTACCAAATGACAAATATGTGTGGAGAATAAAGTATTTTTTTATTATTTTTGTAATTACGGATGTGTTAATGACATTTATAACCATTGGGAGGGAGTTGGATTTTATAATTTTAAAAATTATTATTATTTAATTAATCACTGATACCTGATCTATTGACAAAAAATATATTTTATTTAACTTTTTAAAAATACTGATTTGAAATATTAGAAAAAAAAATCAAGAGTCAAATGCATCACATGTTCTTAATTTTTTACTCTCATTCTAAATTGGTCTCTAAACTTTTAGATATTATAATTTCATCCCTAAACTATGAATATCATTCTAAATCAGTCCTTAAATTTTTTAACATTTCAATTTCATCCCCAAACTATGACCTTTGTTCTAAATTGGTCTCCAAAATTTTTGAACATTTCAATTCATCCCAAACTATACTACCATACTAATCACAACCCTTATTAATAAAATCATTAGTCAAGTTATATCACTATATGTTTGGAAAAAAAATAGGTTAAGCTTTGGTTAAAACTAATTACATATTTGGATAAATTTGGGGATGAAATTAAAAGACTCAAAAGTTTAGGGACCAATTTAGAATGTGAGTCGTACTTTGAGGATGTAATTGGAATATTCAAAAGTTTAAGGAATAATTTAGAATGAGAGTCACAGTTTGAGGATGAAGTTAGAATATTTAAAGGTTAATGACCAATTTAAAATGAATGTCATAGTTTAGGATATATGTTGCAATTAACTCAAAAATTAATTACAATTTAAGGATCAAATGAGATATGTCCGTTAATTTAATATGTCACATCATTTCCTTAACAACAATTAATAACGTGATATCTATTTTATAACAATATTTAAATTTTTATTTTTATTTTGTATCGTTTGAAAGTTTAGTACTAAAATAATCGTTTTATAACGATACTTTGACTAAATTAATAAATTTAAATACGTTTAAATAATAATTTGTGGTATTAATTATTTTTATTAACCATCAATTCCTTCCTTAACGTAGACCTTTTGGATTGATTTCCACATTTTTGTGGTTATGTTATTTTCAACATATAATATATCTTTTTATAATAATTACATTGATACGATGGATAGTTTCCAACAAGTGGTGGTGGTGGTGTAGTGGTTCTCACGGCAGTCTTGCACACTGAAGGTCCCCAGTTTGGTCCTGGGCAGCGACAGTTTTTTCTCTGCTTTTTCCTTCTTCTTCTGGGCTGATCTGAACACTTAGAAGAGGATTTTGTTGTTCTGGTTTAGATATTTTTGGACCCACTCCAAAGAGAAGTTCGGGTTCAGTGGCTGTTTAGGATGAATGATTGGATTTGTTTATGTTAGCTAAACTAAAGGAACCTTTCATAAAATCAAATGCAACCACCCTGCTAATAGTACTCCAGAACAAACAAAATACTATCCTTTGTTCAATCAAATGCAGTCCCACCTACACTTTGTCCTTGTATCTGTGTGTTGACAGAAGAAAGCAACGGTTTTGACTGCATGGTATATACTTTGGATGCAAAGGAGACCCATTGCGAACTGAATCAAGGACCCCTACCCCAAATCCCACCCCATCCTTTTCATTCCAGCTGACTGCTGCTTATATTATTTGCCAAAGTTCAATAAAGAAGAAAGAAAGTTGGACAATATACAACACATGACATGAGATTGAGAGCCACACCGAGATGTTTTCAGATAATATTAAGCTCTAACATACTGAAACTTCTTAACTCCCCCCTTTGGAATTATATAAACCACTGATTGGAGTCCCAAAATATCAGAACCAGAACTACAAAATCCTCTTGTTGAGTGTTCAGCTCAACCCAGAAAAAAAAATGAAACCATGTTGCTGCATGTGATAACCACTACACCACAGCAACTCATTGATATATATATATATATATATATATATGTTTCTCATGTAAATATCTTATTTATAAATTTATTAAGGACCCGTACTAGAATACTCCCCTCATATTTATTAATTGAGGTATCGTCTTCTTATAAGTCTGCTTGTTATAGATGAGGAAAGGCTTTTAAGGGTTTTTAGTAAGACAATTATTATCTCTTTGAGTAGTGAGATTAAGGTCCACACTGTTGTTGTCCACTCAATTTATTATGATTCGTATTTGTATTAGCATTTATCTTCTACACATAATTGTGTATGTTTTTTTTTCAGATAAAATTTTTAATTTAATAATATAAACATAACTTAAAATAACCATATACCCTACAATTAAATTGTCATGTCTTTTTATCGTAGGATAATAATGACGTTCTGTATGGATTTAAATAAGATTAAAAAACAATTATTTATGGGAACGAACAAACAACAGTCATTAGATTTCATTTCTTTATGAAAAACGTCAAATACTAGTAAAAACATGTTTCTTATTAAATAATGAACAACGGTCAAATTTAATTCTAAATATTCTATTTTTTTATAGTTTTCATTTCCTCTTACTTTTACTCTAATTTCGATATTAAAAATGGAGAGAAATAATAGAAAGAGAAGGATATTTAACTCATTTAATTTCTCTTCCTTAAGGTTAAAGAATCGTTATTATTTCTAGAGATTTAAGGTTCAAATACTATGTATATCATAAATATGATCGTTCAATGTTAAATGATTAAAAGATAATATTTGAACAGATAATATCGTGAACTTATTAATATATATATATATATAATAAATAAATAAATAAATAAATAAAATTCACTTAACTTCTCTTCCTTTGATAAGAGAAGTTCAATCTAAATAAGACAAAGGAGTCATTTTCCTCGCTTTACTTAATTTTTTTATATTTCTGATCTAAATCTGTTGTAAAATAAAATAGTTAGGATAATATTATACCTAAAAATATCTATAATTAACATATATTTATATTAAAGATTCATATCTCTTCTATTGAAGACATCATATTAAGTTTTTCTTTAAATAAGATTTCATAAAATAAGATCATATAATTTGAATTATATAAACAAATATTTATATTATTTACTTTTTCAATATTTTCTCCTAATTATAATCACAATTGACTTAAAACATTGTGGGACAAAACTAAACCAACCCAATGCTCTTCACAAGACCAAATCCTGAAACTTCATTGACAAGATGCAAGAATGTTTACGATCAGATGCTCACATATACTCCCAATTTCCTAGCTGCTTTTTATATGGACTGATTAACTGCGCCCCTGGAATTTGGTCCTTAATTAATTGTTTACTATCCTTTCAAATTTCGAAGTAAAGTGAGCTTATGACCGATGCCAATTTTAATTCCAATGGATTGGCCTACAACAATTTGAATAATTCAACTCCTACATACATGAGAGATTGATTTCTAAGAATTAAAAACAACCTTTCCATTGAAGAAAATGGAGAAAATTAAGAGTTTAGCATGATGCAACCTACCATGTCCTACATGATTTAAGATAATATTCTCCTGTTAAATATGATTCATGAGACCAATAGGTTTAATCTAGTTTTTTAATTAATGACTGTTATGATACAAGTACGATAATAACTAATGTAAAAGGATCGTAAAATAAAGAATACCAAGATTTATGTAGAAAATCATTTTGGAAAAAAAGCCATGAGAAGAAGAAGAGAATTTCCAACAATGTGAAAAGTAGAAGAATACAAGAGGATTTGAAGAAACGAATTATCGCATTTAACTCTAATCTCTAATATCTATTTACAAGAATTGTTATTTGTTTATAAAGTAAACTCGTATAAAAAGAAGTATACTCAAATTGAGTTTCATACTATTAGTCAACGTAAAAGAAAATCGATTTTATACTTTTTAATCAAATTAAATTTTCTATTTTTTTCGATTAATTTGAATCGGATCGAATTTAGATCTATCTCACGTTGAATAACAACGCCTAAATGAAAATAATATTATGTATGGAAAATGGCAGCCAACTTCGTCATTTCGACGTTTTCTTTATTTAAAATTCGTCATGCTGAAGATAATTAGTGTAATCATCTGAGGGAGGTATTAAGCGGGGATGAACACAAGCTCTTAAAGTTGACTTCCACCTCTCTCTCCATCTGCCAATCTCAATTTCTTTAAACACTTTTCTTCTACCTATATAATCATTCCTATACACAAACGAGGTTTTTATAATGCCATTAGATCTCGGTCCCAAGGAAGATATAAAAGCAAAGCTTTATCCGAGTTGAAGCTGGCCCTCGGTGATCATCAATTGAACGATATAGCCGGAGCTTTTGAAAATGATTCCGGAGGCGAGTACTTCATGTTTCCCCAATGCGTCGCAAGGGCTGCCGATGTATCCTATATTGGATGATGATGACAATATTAATGTTCCATACTCTTCTATTGAAGCAGCAGCTGGTCCAGGCCTGGATCAGCCTCATTCAAGCTCTTTCCTCTATAGTCTATCAGTCCTGAAAGATAAAGTTCATCAAGTTCAATCATTTGTTAGCATCCTCTCCGATCAAGTCCACCCTGATTCAACCAGGTTTTTAGCCATAGCAAGCATGGGTTCTTTGGTTCAAGACATCATCGTAACAGCGTCATCGATGGTAGTCGTTTGCCAACAAATGTCTCTTGGAACCATTTCAGGTAATAAGACTAGTAGTACTGATAATTGTGGTGGTGATAACTTAGTTAAAGACAGAGAACAGGGTTATCCTAGTACTGATCAAACATTCAGTTGGTACGACCGCAATAGCAACGACGATAACCGATGTTGGCGAGTCGATAACAATGATATATTGAAGAATAAAGAATTGGCTGACATGGTTCAACGAAGCAAAACCAGTGAAGGGTCGTCACTGGGGAATGTTTCGGCTTCGAATTGCGATATAGTCGAATTGGATGCCGAGGACTTGTTAGCTAAGTACACGCATTACTGCCATGTTTGTGGAAAAGGGTTCAAGCGAGATGCGAATTTGAGGATGCACATGAGAGCTCATGGTGATGAATACAAGACCAATGCCGCTTTGGTTAACCCCGTGAAGAATCACGATGGAAGTAATGAGGGCATGGGAAAGTGTTCGACGAAATTCCCAAAGAAGTATTCGTGCCCGAAAGAAGGCTGTAGGTGGAACCAGAAACACGCTAAGTTCCAACCGTTGAAATCCATGATCTGCGTGAAGAATCATTACAAGAGGAGCCATTGTCCGAAGATGTATGTCTGCAAGCTGTGCAACCGGAAGCAGTTCTCGGTGCTGTCGGATCTCAGGACTCACGAAAAGCACTGCGGTGATCTTAAGTGGCAATGTTCATGCGGAACCACATTTTCGAGGAAAGATAAGCTTATGGGTCACGTTGCTTTGTTCGTTGGCCACAGGCCGGTTGATGCTAATGTTTTGACAGCGCAAGGAAAGCTCGAAAACTAAGCCACCACTTCAACAAGATAATATAGGTAAATGTCCTTAGTACTAAAAAAGAGTTTAAGCTGGATTATGATGATTTAAGAATGTCTGCAAAGTGAATTTTTAGGATTATTTTAAGTTTTTAAAATATAAAAAAGTAAATAAATGAGGCGCGTGACTGCTTTCTATTCTTGTTGTGAAATATAAAAGTTTTACTACTAATGTATCAAATACTAATTTATCATAAAAATATTTTTTAATAAAATTTATTATAACCCAAGGTAAACTTGTGTAAATGCCTAGGTATGACAAAATTTTATTAAGCATTTAGGGTGCTTTACAATGAAGAAAACCAAGTTACTAATAATTAGGTTTGGTTATGTTTCTAAGCACATGCTGCTCATGTATATTTCCAGGTGATAACTGTATTCGTATAGGGCATCGACTGTGGTGTGTTAATATCTAAAGCCTTTGCCTCGAAAGGATCGGAGTTTGATGCAAATGTTTTGAGGAATGTATCATGTGTGCTCATATTATATGACTGTGAACAAGAATCTGAAAACATAGTAGATTTATTCATATTATATCCATTATAATATAATAATATGTGAAAGAGACTCGTTCAAAATCTCATCAATTGTTAACAACAATCATCGTACATTTATAGATATAACTTTAAGGTAACGCACAAACCGACTTACCTCAGTGATTAAAAGAATCGTCGTTGTTCCTAGAGGTCATATGTTTAAGCACCAACTATTGCAAGGGTGATTGAACGTTCGTTGTCAAATGATTGATTTTTAATCAAAAAGAATCGATCGAGATGCTTGACCCCGAACATTTTATGTGATATTTACTTTGTTTTGAGCTTTGTTCACTATCCAAACCCACCTATGTTGTCGTATTCACCATCACCATTCAAATTGTTCCCTTCTGTCGTGAATTTTCTTCCTTGTTAGCATATTTCTAATCAAAAGAATCATGTTTTGAACTTTTTATGTAATATCTGCACCAATTAGCATATTTTTTTCTTCCTTTTGTTGAAGTTTCTTAGCTTAATAAGGTTAGTTTCTTTATCCTGAGTTTCTCGTCCATAATCATTCTCAATGTAGTCTATTGTGCAAGCTTGGAGAGTGAATTACTCAAGACTTTTGACTGTAACTTCTAATTAAGAATATTCTCATGTCATGCTCATAATAAGCACTTCCTAGTGTGTTGATTTATTTAGTGACGGATTCAAAAATACTTTTTAAGGTGAGTAAATTTTATGTTAATAATATAATTTTTTTTGAATGAAGTTGACACAAATAAAATTTTAGAGTGAACACCATCAATGAAATATATAATTAATCGAACAAAATTTAAATTTCAGAAAAAACGCATATCCATCGTCAGATATATGTGATCCGCCACTGCATGCATGAATATTATCCAAGTACAACCGTCCCACTTGCGAATGAGATGAAGTACAGTGCCATAGATCCTTTCGCATGAGAGCTTCCATTGCCATGAAGAAACACTAAAGAATCTAGGGAAATGTTCCTTGACATCCAAGATTTAGAGCGTACACATAGCAATTGTTCCTTTTCATTTGTTTGAAAATATTAGTGAGAAAACATTTCATATTGTATAATAACTCTTTGAGTAAGGTAAATATTTTTCCTAAGATATCGAGATTTTATACTAACAGTAATAATGAGATTTATCTACCCTTAGATGTCCTTCTGTTATAAATGTTTTTCTAAGGATTTCAATGATGAGATTTGTCTGTCCTTAGATGTCTTCCGTCTATGGATGTTTTCAAAAGCATAAGAGGCTTCTCTACTCGTAGGGTAGGGATCCCTTCACCATGAATGTAGCATGTATAATAATTAAAATATTATTAAATCCATAGATGCTAATAGTAGGATATTTACAAATATTTAGAATATCCATTAGAATTTAATCATCATTATTATTTTTCTTTAAAATTAGTAATTGTGGCTCACATTTGATACCGAAGACTTCACCCGCGAGACATAAGAATTGGGCGAAAATTTAAAACCCAGAGGAAACATAGCTAAATCCCGCCATTAAAGCAATCCTTACACAATCATATCCAACGGCGCATGCTTTCCGCGTCAGCGATCCCCGGATCCCAAAAGCAACCAATCAAATCTCACCCTCTCCCCTATATATGTATTCACCTTCCACATCTCACCTTCACCACTGAATCACAAATTCACAACATTTCCTAACCTCATTTGCTTTTGCTTTGAAATTAAGATATCCCAATGGCACCCAAAGCCGAGAAGAAACCGGCCGAGAAAAAGCCAGCCGAGAAGGCCCCAGCTGAGAAGAAGCCAAAAGCCGAGAAAAAGCTCCCCAAAGAAGCCGGCGACAAGAAAAAGAAGAGAGCTAAGAAGAGCGTTGAAACCTACAAGATCTACATCTTCAAGGTCCTAAAGCAAGTCCATCCTGATATTGGGATTTCGAGCAAGGCAATGGGTATTATGAACAGCTTCATCAACGACATCTTCGAGAAGCTGGCTCATGAAGCTTCGAGGCTCGCGCGTTACAACAAGAAGCCCACCATTACCTCCCGCGAGATTCAGACGGCCGTCAGATTGGTTCTGCCTGGGGAGTTGGCTAAGCACGCCGTGTCGGAAGGGACTAAGGCCGTTACCAAGTTCACCAGTTCTTAGTTTCAAATTACCTGTTGCGAAATATAGGTTTTGTTGTAAAAATTAGTAGCTATGAAGGATGCCCTCTTTTGTTGGTCCTCTATCTGTAATTTGCTTTGATCGTTCTAAACGTTTAATTTTGTTAATCCTTATATTATGTAGAGATTTATTTTTAATGACTTGCATTTTTTTAATCACATAAGTATACATTAAAGTAAAAAGAAATTAAATTTTTATTACTTAATTGGTTTAAAATGAACTTCCAATTCCCACGTAGCAGAACGATTCAAACTGTAATGAGAACTTTTCTGATTATGCTCTATATACACTGTAAATTTCTCAATGTTTTGAAGTTTTTGGTGAACAATTAATGCTGCAAAATACAGTTCACACTTGTTCTAATCTATTTCAGCATGTACGTAATCCACAAAAACGAAGTTCTTTTCGAGTTGATGTAATGCAAATGCCAAACCTGCAGAAACCATTGCAAGCACTGCTAAAACAACCCGGAGCTGGAAATCTGATGGGATGCCGGCTGATGCGGAGAATGCAACAGTTGCACCTACTAAGATCTTTTTCCATGTTTGGAATGACGTGTAAGCTTGTTTACATGATGAACACTTGAGTGTGTGCTGCTCGAATCTATCAAGCATCTACAAATGATGATGGAGATGTATAAGACCATACTCCGGTGTTTGTGATTGTTTATATAAGCGAATTATGGGTTTTGCAATACCTGGCGTTTTGATAATACTGTTGACGGGAGAGGTTGGATGGTGGTATTGAGCCATTCAGGTTGATTGTTGCCGTGATGCCTTAGCCATTTCCGAAATTCCAAGACGAGGCGATCAGCTTGTGTGGGTGTAAATGTGAACTTCGAATACTCCTGATTGATGTCCTTGGAACTCTCCATTGATTTTGAAAGAAAGATCTTTTCTTGACCTTGGAGTACAATCATGTCTCCATCATAAACTTTGTTTGATGTCCAGTGTTCAAACCATCTCGGAACCAGCTGACACAAGAAGACCCAAATGAGTGACACCAATTTATGAAGAAACGAGGCATAGGAAAACTTTCATTAGAAACCTAAATGCCGGCTCAAGCGAGCCGACAGATGAGAGAAGCCTCTAGTTCCATATTTCAGTTTAGTATCCCTTTATAATCGAACACAATCTAGCAAACACATGTACGAGAAGCGAAATGAACTAGTGCTCACCTGCCACCAGGCAGGCCCAGGCACGGAAAACTGGAAGAAGTTTCGGGCACTGCAAACAATTGACCGTGTCTTCCCTGGAGCCATTGGCACATTGAATGAACATATCCATATCTTCCATTTCTGCTCACCAACTATTGGAAGCTTGGTGTCTATCTCTATCCTGCAGGGTAAGATGGCAAAAAGTATGATAAATTTGACAGAAGCGCATAACTTTGAAGGATGATACTACAAGAGAATGTCATTAGCTCACATAAGCTGCAGTCTAAGGCTCTAAGCCAATGCAACTTTGTCGTCATTGAAAAAACATTAATCATACACATGATGGATGTGAAACGGTAGAGAAAAGCACAATAGACTTAAACAGTTAAAAGTTGAAACTTGAAAGCCAAGCTTTTGTCCATAATCATTGATGTATTAAGCTTTACTCAAGTTTCAGTGGGCCCCTGGTATTTGCAATGAGTTGTACACCAACATCCAAATATCGGTTTTCATGAAATTTTTCAGTAAAACATAAGAGAAATTACTTTAAAGAAGTGTTAAAGTTTCTAACTTTAAACAAGGGCAATGAACTTACGTATTCGTATAATAGCACGGTGCAACAAACTTACTACTGATCTTTGGGTTACCGTCATTTGATCCACCAAATCCCCAAGGGCCACTAGATTCCACCTTAAACGGCAAAGGCTTTGCCCTGTCTCTCCTCCCAGTAACCTGTGTTGAACAGAAAACGAAAGTTGTCCGGAATAAAATAACATTACAAACCCAATAGAGCCAGCATGTTTTCAAATCACACATTGCTGAATAACTACAGAGAAATGAAAACGCGTTCCAGTACTGAAAGAACTGTGTTTAAACATGCATCGGTCGAATCTAATTACTGACTAGACATTTTAAGTGTAGATGCAGTAAGTTAAGCTTTAAGCAAGCCAGGTACCATAATGGATCTTCTATTATACTCCTATGAAGTTAGTAAAAGTACCTTATGATGAGCAAAATCAATGTGGGAAGGATCCGAGACGTTCTCCATGAGGGTATCATAACCATAAAACAGATCACGTTGGATATTGACAGTTGCAAATTCTGGTTTGCTAAAGTCATCAGGCAACCTAAAGAACATATAAATGATGGTTCAAGACATTCACCTAGATAATCTAGTCTGGTAAACAGGTAACAAAACAAGACGCAATGACTTACATGGGGGGCTTGGTAGCACTTGCTCTTTCCTGCCCATTCTCATCGGGCCAAACAAAAAGCAAGCCTTGAGAAACCATTGTAGGAAACCTAGTAGCACATGCTCTCGGGGACCGATTTGCACGAGCTTCGGGACCTTGAGGCGCAGCCTGAGGAATCCTAGTGCAAGATCCACATCCATCAAAAGACCATCCATGATATGAACACTGCAAGTGCCCATTCTCATCTATCCGCCCTTCCTACAAAATTCAGAGAAGAAAATTCCAATCGCTAGCTGATACAAATAACCAAATTAAAGACACCCAAAGCACCAAATAGGATCTGATGAAAAATTAAAACAGAGAAATGTAGAACTTACGGACAAAGGAGCAAGCCTATGGGGACATTTATCATCAAAAGCAACCCATTGGTTCCTTCCTTTGTCAAACCAAAGCACCAAGTCACGACCCAAAAGCTGAAATGGCGTGGGTAAAGATGGGTCCAAATCTTCAACCAAAGAAACCGGGTACCAATGATCTTTCCATGAGAACTTAGACTCTGAACTCTCCTCACCAAATTCATCTCTTACCCTAAATTCTTCTTGTTTCTGATCTGAAGTTTGTTCTGCAGCTGCTGATGATGGAGAGGCTGCCACGTGTAAAGGTGTAAGCTTCGTGAATCTTTTTGAAGCAAGGCTCTTCCGTGGACATAAAAAAATATGGGTTTTGCTTTCCGAAGATGTTATAATAGGAGTAGCCAAATTGACCGTAGGAATGGTAGCAAGAAGAAACCCTGCCATTTTTTTTCTGATTTATTTACTTGTTTTGGAACTCCTTGAAGAAACTAAAACTCGGTTCTTTTATTAGAAAGAAAAATCAAAGATGAACAAAAAACTAAAGCTTGAGTTGAGTGCAAGTATTGAATTCGTGTTGGCCACCGGGAAAGATAAAAAGGGCAACGGAAAACTAATGCTTGTACTCACACTCAACGTGGCAATGGTAGCTGGAACGATTGCACACGCAGGCTTTTCATTTCAGCACGTGTGTAGCTAGACAGCCTGATTATTTAATATTTATTATTACTATTTCCATTTGATTTCTTCCCCTCACTTCTTTTACTTTCCGTGAGTAGCATAAATGCTTTTTCTTTTTTATCATAATACTAAAATTAACATCTCACATATATTAAAATAATAATCTTTTTTTATATTTTTTTCTAAAATATTTTGACAACAGCGTTTTTTATTTTAAAATAAAAAATTTATTAATAAAATTTATTAGTTAATACGTAATTAACATTTAAAATAAAGATTTTTACCTTAAAATAAGATATTGAGAGCTAAAATGCTCCCAAAAAATATCAAAATAACTATTTTATCAAAATATTAAGAACTTTTTAACCTAAAATAAAATTTTAGAGCCAAAATACTAAAAAAAAATAAAGATTAAAATGATTATTTTAATAGATAATAGGAGTTAATTTTAACATTATACCTTTTTTTCCATTGGAATGGCTCCCTTCACGTTATTTATCTAATTGACACATTTAAAATTTTATATATAAAAATTCTAGTTGTAAGATAAGTATTTAAAATATATTTTTTTTATATATTTTAAATGTTTATTTTTCTAAAATATTTTATAAAATCAATTTATTATATCCGTTTACAAATTATTACCACTGTTTATGAATTCTTCGATTTTATAAGTTTTATTTTTAATTTTAGATTTTCTCAAACAAAAATAAATAAAATTAAAAATATTTTTTAAAGTTGAATAAATAGTTTTTAAAAACAAAATATTTGAGACTTGTGATTTTTTTTCAATAAAAATAATTGAAAAAAATAAGAATGAAAAAACATATATCATACTTGATGTTGACGATGAACAAAATGATGGCTTGAACGGAAGCCAAATGGACCATGAGGATAGTAAAAAGATGGTTTTTTTTTATAACTCCATCTATTTTTTCTTTCATTTTCTGTTTGGTTACAAAGAAAATTGGAAGAAGAAAGAACGAAAGAGTGAAAAAGAAATTCGGAGGAATAAAGAAAGATGAAAAAGGCCAGACGTCAGATATTGTAACAAATAAGAAGTGTTTAACAAAAAGAAGAGGGGGCGATTTGCACAAGTATAGTGCTCAATTTGAGTAATTTAACAAGGATGTAAGAAGTGTTTAAACCGAAAAAGGGAGGCATGGCCACTCTCAACCTGTATAATGATACAAGAAATGCAGGCAGCAAACCACAATGCAATAAATTAACAAGAAACTTAGAAGAAAGGTTTTATGGCCAAATCAACTAGATGAGAACATACAACCATGAGCAAGTCTCGGCCATAACATATTGAACACAAAGTCTCGCCTGTCGAAACTACTCGACATCTATTTAATGGATGACTCTCATATTTCATATAGAGTAAGAAAAAAGAACACGACATAAATTGGGGGAAAAGGAAAACAAAAGGTGACATAAAATCATGACAAAAAATAATAGCAAAACCAAGTATTAGCCTCTGCTCTTTTCCTTTTCATGTTATGCCCTTGATTTCCACAGAGAGCATAACAATTTTTCATATCTAAATTCTTACAAAATAAAATTTTCACGTTCACTTGTCACACAATACTCATCATGCTGCCTGAAGCAAAGCGAATTCCTATAGTCAGAAAGAAAGCCAAATTTCAAATGCATCGTCAATTAACATAATGCACGAAAGGAGCATAGGGTTAACGTACAGTTAACAGGAATTAATTCAACAAAAAAGGATCCTTTCTTCGGGTAAATTTGGTGATCAGGTCCAACATCACGTGAACCAGTGTTTATGTAAGGCCCTCGAAAAGTAGCCTGCGGAGGAAGTGGCTTAGATGAATCCACAGGTTTTTTAGATGTCCTGGACGATACAAATCATTATTGAACTTTTGCAAGTTGACAACTATATAGCTCTCAACAACACATTGCTGTTGAAAAAAGAATTATACTTGCGCAATATAAAACGGAAACGCTAAGCCTGCAGAGGCAAAAGCTAGTAAGCCAGAAGCAACCAAGACATTGCGTGCTCCTGACATTCTGATTCTAAACCAACTTCAACAAGGAATGACAAGAGACCTATAACATGTCAAAGAAATTGTTGACATTTCCAATATCAATACGAAATTCTACATGCCGATCCATACATTTTATAAAATAAATAAGCGAAATAGGAATATACACAAGTAGATGGACTACCTATAAAACAGAAAATGGGAGTCAAAAAATAGATCTAGAATTGCCATATTCGTTTTCGAGAGCAGTTTTCACACCCACTTACCACCAACAGACATGTAAAGCACAAAACTTTCCAGTCAGCAAGGAATTTATACAAACATCAAAATCGATACCCCCCGAACTCTCGATTTCAAGTTCAGGGAGGCTAGTATATGATAAAGAGTTAAAGACAAGTGGCCTCAGCAACAATCTACACCATAATTTTCTAGAACTCGCTACTATCCTTTAATAATTGCAATTTGGGATCAGCAAAATAGACCTAAAAATCAGAGCTTTCAATCACAAGGCACTGATCTTCACCATTCAAAACCTTTAGTTCCACTTGCTTCTTTACTTCTTCTAAATGTAAATTTTGAAACAAAAGTAAGCAACACCGATACAAAGAAATCAACTTAAAACTAGTCCCATCATATTCTAAATTGTGGAGCCTAGCCCGAAACTATTGTTGTTTATTGTTCTGAAATGATCAAAGAATAAAATTCTCAAAATTTTATTTTCTAAAAAGTCCCACTTTAAGATTTTCTTTTTCCTTAAATGAAGCCAACAAGGAAAATAGTTGCTAATGAAAAACCCATTTGGGTAGAATCTGAAATTCGTTACCATAAAAGAAATGGATTGGAAATTTAAACCACCCAAAATTCGATTGAAAAGGAAAAGAGGAATAGAGAAATTTGATGAAAGATGAGGCTCTTTGATTTCTGAGATAATTGTGAAGCCTACAGAGCATAGCCTGTCGTGGTGATGACCGCCACATTGAACTCGTTTGAGTAGCCGAATAGTCACATCAAATGGGCTGGACTAAGGCCCAATAGTCTCAGTCATGATGGGTCATTTTAAATCATTTTTTAAAAATATAGATAAAATACATAAATAATCCTTTGATTAAGAAGATTCTTTATTAAATCATAATTATTAAAAGTTATAAAATAATCATTTAAATTATTTATCTATTTCAAACTCGACTTTTTGTTAAAAAATTAATGATCGTCTGAATTAGATGGTAACATGTTAACTAAGATATGATGAAATTTGATATTATAATTGTTTAAATTGTATTCAATAAATTGAGTTTTTGTTTATATTATATCATTAAATTAATGATTGAAATATTTTTTCGTTGAATCAATGTTTGGAAATAATTATGACCAACTATCTACTTTTAAATAAATATACTGTTTTTTCTGTTTATATATATATATTCCGTTAAAGGGGATTCGAGAAAAGATGGAATAGGAAGACGTGTTTCCAGAACAAACAAGATACAAGTTGAGAAGGGGAAGTTTGCAAAGTTAGACAAGATTGGAATGGGCATAGGAACATGTATTGATGTACCAGATCGGCTAATGCTCCCAGGTTGATGCGATGTATTCCACCAGTTGACTGAAGACTTGATTATTGGTATATCGATCGGTCCAACACAGATTGAAATAGAAGTCTTGTAGTCAGTGGATGGGGGGTCTTCCATTCCAAAAGATATTTTTTTTCACTTTTTCCCTCACTTATCATCTCTCTGTGGGACTTGTTCCCTCTTCAACTCAGCGCAATCGGGGGGCCCGAGTACATAGACGAGGCGGTCCCGGGAATGAGAGCCCATTCCCTCGTGCTCTGGAACTCCTTAACTTTGGTTGAACAAAAAAGGTTCAATCTTGTGAAACCGTAGCGTAGGCGAAACCTGGCAGCCCGCCCAGACCCGTCCCGGATCATATTCCGGTGCTTCCACAGAAGAGGAAATCGCAATGCATCTTGCTCAGCAGGCGTAGCTTGGAGTGGGAGTGTAGCGTAGGTAAGATAAGGAAAGTGACCGCCAGAGGCCGGCCAGTGGCGGCAGAAAACGAACTCGGGCGGGCTCCGTGCGGTTCGCGTTTTCTTGTGTTGAGAGCTTCTCATTTTCTTATATTATAGAAGCCCACGTCCACGCCGGGGACGGGTAAAGCCCAGCGAAGCAGCAGGGAGCACTGAACAATGGGGGGCCCTCCAAAAAAAAGGAATTGTGCTATGCCCCCCGATCCCTATAGAGCGAAAGAGCTGCCTGGTGATCCCTAGGTTGCAGCACGTCCGGTCGTTAACTCCTCAGCCGCATATATATATATATATATATATATATATATATATATGTATGTATATGCATCAATTACCGTCAATTATAAATCATAATGAATTCGTTATTTTCCCAAATAATCAGATCATTTTGAAATGCAAAATATTAAAAAAGGAATGGAGCCCCTAGGGCCTAGCTACTAGCCATCACCCTCTCTATTTATACTCTTCTCGTCGTTTCATGTGTATAGTGAGTTTCAATTACAGCGCCACACCTTCCCATAATCTCTACCCTCTCACCATGTCAACCCCCACCCAAAACGGTCGATTCTCCAGAGTCTTCAGCGAATCCGACGAAATTCGGGTCCTCGTATTCCTAATCAGAACCACCAAATCCATTTCTCCACCCATCACAGCCATCGTTACCCCAACAATCAACCGCATCGTCTAGCGTCTCAACCACAAGTTCACTCATTCCCAAATCAACGACAAGCTCCGTAGGCTGAGAGACAAGTACCACAAGCATGTCAAAAACAAGTACCTCGCTTAAAACCCATCACGACCGAAGAGTATTCAGGCTTTCCAGAAGAATTTGGGGCGAGAAAAAAGCCCCAAAGAACAAGACTACGAAGGGTGCGGAGACAGTGGAAAGTGGAAAGGGAAATGGCAATTTGGAGAAATACCCTCATTTGGTGGCTGAGTTTTCGAGGGCTTTTCCTGGCAATGAGGTGTGGAAGGAGAGATTGAAATGGTTGGATGACATGACGTTGAGGAAGATGGATCAAGAGTGGGTGCCTGTGAAGGTCGAGGAAGCTAAATTGGTGGCTAAGAAAGCTGAGTTGCTTCAGCGACAGATGATGGAGATAATGGGAGAATGAGTCTAATGCCATGGGGTTGATTAGCAGATGATTTTCTTTAGCTGTGGTTTTGAGAATACTTACTGTTTTCATCTGTGTAATTGTCTTGATTGTTTTTGTTGGCTGTTGAGGATTGATATAATTGACTTAAAAATGTTATTAAGCTTCCACCTCTTTCTAGGTGTTTTGCCCGATATATCATCCTTTGACTTTATATTTTCTTGTCAAGTACATTCAGATTTTTTTTTTATCTAACATTCTTTATCGTAAGGCGTGTTTCCTGCAGTGTGCTTTACTTCATGTAGGGTTATAGCACGATGCAGGGGTGGTGTTTTTCAATTATCACATGCTCAATTATCAGACATGCATAATGCAAGGCGCGGTGCAGGGATCGCGCCCTGTATAATTTACCGAATTTCTCGACTTTAAAACATCTTCTCTCGACTATAAATAACCCTCATCCCGTAAACTCTCTCACCAACAATCCTTTCAACCAGTAAACAACACCCGACAATTATCTTATATTTAATTCAGAAGTTCGATCGATTTTTCATTATAAGGTAATTTTTATATTATTTTTTATAATTATATATGGTTATTTGAAAAAATATATATTATACTAATTGTTTTCAATTAATTCATGTGTTTGTAAAATTAGAAAGCGGGAGCATACGTCGAAATATTTTTATGGTGCAGGTAATAATATAAAATTATATTATTTAAATTATTTACGTTCATTTGTAAATTTTTTATTGTGTTATATTTTCTTTCATATATTATTTATTTAATCAGGTTTGTTTCAGTTGTTTTTTTGCAGATATAATATTGTCGCACTTTTAAACTCTAAGAATGACGCGAATTTCAGCTATTGTTTATTATGATGGAGAAATTCGAGAAGATGAAATCGGCGTTGTTTTCGTATCAAATGAGCGTGTTAAAATATCATTCAAGAGAAACATAACTCTTGATGAGCTAATAACGAAGATTTCGAGGAAGGTTCATGTTGAAAGTAGTAGAATAATATCGTTGTTGCAGTACAGACTTCCAACATCATTGTTGCCATTAACTTATACAGCGTTCGAACTATCGAATAATGATGATGTTGAAATGATGGTCGATTCTCAAAGTAATTATTCAGACGCCGATATTGAGATGTATGCAAAGTTTGTTCAAGTGCGTGCTGTTCGGGGTCAGTCATTAAGCTCCCACTATGGGCTGACTGAACAAGTTGATCAAGTTGACAACCCGACTACAGTAATGTGTAATGATTTTAACGCCATAATGGGAAATCCGCATCATGGTGCCATCATATCAACTTCAATGAGGAGACATCCATCCATAACTCCTTACGATATGTACCGAGGTGGGTCCACGAACAATCCGTATGGCAACATCGCTTCAAGGCATTCATCTGTAAATTTCTTTGACCTTAATATGGAGATGCTATCGACGCAACAATCTGTGCAATTTCCATTTGACACGAAGACTTCAAGCACTAGGGGGAGGCATTTCACTGCGAGCTTTTTCGATCTCAATGTAGATATGCATTCTAGTTCAAGGGGAAGACGTGCAAGTAGTAGGTTCTTCGACCTAAATGTGGAGAACATAGAGGAACCATCATCTCCACCAGAAGAATCGCTTCGTGAGCCTGGTGCGAATGGTGCTGAGACTGAACTATTCATTCACCCAAAATCACCGCAATTCAACTCCGATGATGATGTAGATGAAGTTCTCTCAAATGTGGCACAAGCTGACCCTCCAGCACATATGTATGAAGCTGATTATGGTGCAATGTATGGACCAAAATTTGCGGATATGCCTAATCTCGGTAACTATAGATATTACTCATCAATAAATAACGGTGAGTTATCTTTAGGCATGGAGTTTTCAAGCAAAGAAGAAGCGATGATGGCTATAAAAAATTACAATATTCGTAATTCTGTT